TCTATCTCTCTCTCTCTCTCTCTCTAAATGAATAAAATATAATAAGATGTCTCAAAAATCTAGGTTTCGTATTTTTATAGTGGGTTAATGTATTTTTTTTTAAAATATTTTTTTTTAATTTGATGGTTTTCCGTTAGGTGGAGGGTATTTTTTAAAAAATTAATTAACGGTAAGGGTATATATGGCTTAATAGTATAACGGAGGGTAGATATGAATAATATACCAAAATAAAAGGATATATTTGACCCTTAAACATATTTTTTTATTCAAAACAAAGAATGAAGTATATAGGTTTTCAGTAGAAAATTAGAAGGCCAAATTTATTTTTTGGTTTGTTTTTTATTTCTGCCTGACAGGGCAATTTTTGAAACAGTTAAGACCGTTGAACGCATTTTGGCGCGACTCCACGACTTCATACTTCCAAAAGGGGAAAGATTAGTAAGAAATTAAAATGTGGAATTACTAAGAAGGGAGTTTGCAGTTTTGATATTGTTAAATAAGACCAAATGGAAGTACAAAAAAAGGTGCTTAGAATTTACTAGTATGTATGTTACTTAGCTCGCAAGGGTTGGCCGAATTAGTTGGGTGAGTGATTTCCCACATATGAGACATATGAGATGAAATATGCTTACCTGCAGGAGTGTTGGAAAATGAGCCACTACGATGAAATCCAACTCAAGGAGGAGTGATCTGAACAAGGACAAAAATCAGGCACAGAAGCTCAAGTGCGGACCACAGATTTTTATCTGCGGCCGCAGAATGTGTAGGAAAATTAACAGATCCCTAGTGCAAAGTACGGACCGCACAATTATTTTGCGGCTGCAGAAGCTACGTAAGAGCCAAAGTTGAGAGAGTTTCATCTCAAGCTCAAGAAGAAATGCGGACCGCACAATAATTGCGCGGCCGCAGAAACAGCTATGTGACCACACTCAGGAAATGTGCGGTCCGCAAAAGAGCCCAGTGCGGCTGCACCCAGAATTGTGCGGACCGCAGAACATGAGAGATGCGACCACAATTCAGAATTGTGCGGCCGCATAATCAACTCCTGTCAAGATATGAAGAGAAGTGCGGACCGCACATATAATTGCGCGGCCGCAGAACCTCCGAAAAGGCAATTTTGTCCGAAAATTTCAGCTTTGTATAAATAGACTACTTTCACAAAATTAGGTCAAGTTTTGAATATTGAAAGTTCTGTAGCCGTTTTTCTTTATCCCTTTAGGCAACTTTAGCTTACTTTGGTGATTTAACATTGGGTTTTTATCTTTTAATCTTGCAATATGAGTTTTATCATCTTTTCTTCTCTATTTTCCTCTATACCCATTATGAGTAGCTAAATTTTTAGCTAGGGTTGTGACCCAACCCTAGTGTGTAAACCTAATGGGTATTTGATTTATGACTTGTTTATGGTTGGGTGTTTATTATTTAGCCTTGTTCTTGCCTTTAATTATAGAATTAATGGTTGCAAACATTAGTTTATGCCTATTTGACTTGGTCTCTACTTGAGAAAGAGAGACTTAGTCTAAGAAAACTTGTCTAACAAGAATTTGGGATAAAATCAAGAGATTGATAGTTGAACCTAGAGATATTAAAACCCGACTTGAGTATTTTATCAACTGTTTTGTCCAATACCCATTTGGACTTGAGAAAGCCAAATTGGGTAAAATCACTCTCTTACCGAGAGGTATTGAGTGAGTATTTGAGTGTTGATTGCTATAATATACCCCGACCAATAAAATAAGCTTTAAAGTTTATAACCCGTTAGGCAAACACGTAGGTGAAGGTCATACCCCTAGGACTTTTTATATATTTGAAAACCATCCAAAAATAATATTCTCTAATTTTATATCTTTAGAATTGTAATCCTTAACGTAATTTTAGAAGTAAAACAAAACCTTATTTGTGGAAGTGAAACCAAGCTACTTCACGTGTTTTATCCAAATATATACCACTAATCCCATCTAAGCTCCCTGTAGATTCGATCCCGACTCCTTGTTGGGTATTATTATTGCAATCGACCGTTTCACAACCCCGAATAGAGGTGTGACTTGGACGAGACCAATTTTTGGCACCTTTGCCGGGGAGCATAAAAACGGATTTAACTATATATTTAGTTTTGTGTGTGAATTGTCTTCTTTTCCTTTCGTGTTACTAATCTTTTTGGTGAAACAATGGCTCTCAATAACAATGATCCTCTCGTAAACATGACTTTGGGGGATATGGACGTGGAAGATGACCAAGTTGAAGAGGTTACTCTTGAACCTCAAGCAAATAGATGAGGCCGACTGCCTCAAGACAACGTTCCCGTTCCACCCCCAAATCCACCAAGAGCGGCACCACACCGGATGTTGCCGAATGAAAGGTATGCAACTGCCATAGTTCCGCCCCGCATTAGGGCGGGCAACTTTCAAATCACAAATGTTATGCTCATATTTCTAGAGCAATGGGGATTCTTCACCGGGGCTCCGAATCAAAATGCGTACAAACACTTGAAAGGGTTTGTGGACACTTGCTGGGGGAGTAAACAGACAAACATCTCTGAGGAATCTTTAAGGTTGAGGCTATTTCCTTTCTCTCTACGGGGGAAGCCTTGGATTGGTTAGAAAGGTTGCCAAACCATTCCATCCATACATGGGATAAATTGGTAGAGAAATTTATTTCCAAGTTCTTTTTTCCCGGGCATATGGCTACTCTTAGAGATGAGATTCTAGCATTCAAACAAGAACCCAATGAGCCTTTGCATGGGATATGGGAGAGGTACCGAACTATGGTGAAAGAGTGCCCAAACAATAACATGACGGAGGCTATGATTCAACAAACTTTCTATAGGGGGATTAATACTACCAATAAATGCGTGGTCAACCAACTTGCCGGTGAAAATTTCATGACAACGCCATATGCGGAAGCTTATGAGATCTTAGATGAAATGGCGGATACTTCATCGGCATGGCAAAGTATAGCAAATGTTCCTCAAGGTGATCCAAACGTGATTTACCTACATAAAGAATTGCATGATCATGGGCAAGCAATTGCCGAGTTGACCACCACAATAAATCAATTAGCCATGGCTCAACTTCAACAAGTGCAAGGTCCTAAGCAAGTAAATGCAATGGAGGGAGTTAATATGATAGTAAACAGGAGAAGGCAAA